CAAAGCTGTTAGGGCTATCCTGGACTTCTGCTACCTCGCCCAATACCCTGCTCACACTGATGAGACACTAAACCATCTTGACGAAGCATTACAACAGTTCCATCAGGCAAAGCATATATTTGTTCTTCTCGGCATCCGGAGTGATTTCAATATACCGAAACTACACTCTCTCCTCCATTACATCGCCTCGATTAAGTGCTTTGGCACGACGGACAACTACAATACGGAGTACACCGAACGCTTGCACATCGACTTCACCAAGGACGCCTATCGTGCGACAAACCACAAAGATGAATATCCGCAAATGACAAAATGGCTGACACGTCGTGAAAAGGTCCTTCGCCATGAGAAGTATATCAAATGGCGTGTTGCTGGCTGCCCGCCACCTGACGTTCCACAGACCGACGGCATGCCTGACCCGCGTGACCTGGGCTCACGTCCACACCTGCGAATGACCCGTCATCCAACCGTAAAGGCTGTCCCAGTATCTACCGTGAAACTCCAGTATGGTGCTCAATTTTTTGAAGCTGCCTTTGCTCGTTTCGTGGTTCAGTACCATGAACCAAGATGGACCGCTTTTCAGGTTGAACAGGCGGCTGCAAACATATACCTCCCATTCCAGCGTCTCCCGGTGTTCCATAAGATCAAGTTCTGGATCACATCAGGAAAACCGGAATTCTCTCGTAGACAGGGCTCAGTTATAGACTGTTCTGTAGTTACTGTAGACTCCTGTAGGTCAGGCTGTAGCTCTCGGACTCACTGTAGGACACATATCTGATGCAGATGTACATGTAAGCAATGTATACACAGAGCTGCTATGGCCTATCTGAGTGCTATTGACATGAGTGCAATGCATAGAAGGTAGCTACATCTATATAAGGATTAACCCAGAAGGACTTACACTTGTCCAAGACATTCTCCGACGTCCAATGCCTATCTACATTGGTACCGAACTTAGGGATCAGATGGCAGCTACCTACTATACGGTCCATGGCAATGACTTCGGCATTGCGATGACCACCGCGTCTGGATCTTGAGATGGTGTGCATCTTTGATGTGGCATCAATGCTGCTGAAAGGCATGAACCATTCCACGTACGCCAGCAGTGTAGTTTGATGATTGTCGCGATGCTTGGCCCGGAAAACCTCAGGCAGCTTGAAGAGTAGCCGTACTTGAGCAACTTGAAGCCCTGCGCAAACATTAGATTTGCCATTGAGGTAAGCTTGTTGACTGACCTTGCAATGCCATCCCGCGAACGTGCTCGTTCTCGCGTGATGCTGCACCGTCCACCCGCACAAATACGGTATCTGCGTGACCTGGAGTACTAGGTCCCCCGCGTTTGCCTAGCTTTGCCGGTGTAGTGCGTATGCGTCTTCTGAGTTTTGCGGAGTCGGTGACCACTGGAACGGGCGGGTGATGTAGGATAAGCTGTTGATAAAGGTCGAATTTGTCGAACTGGTTGGGACTCGTAACCGCTGCACCATCCGGGCGCATAAGCAACAGATACCGCCGTAGACAGTCTAGAAACTGAAAGGCGCCGTAGTCTGACACCAGCTTCGACACCGTCACAGCGAAACGCGAAGGCTTCTTGGGCAAAGTGCGCACAGTCTGCTTGAAGAAGTCACGCGGCTTCGCATACGCCAGACACGTCTCGGTCTCAGAAATGCGTTCCTCGTCTAGCGACTCGTCACTGGTGTCCGATAGAGCATCATCGGTTGACTGGTGAACGCGCGCTGTCGCCCAAGATAAGTACGAGTTGAATTCAGCTACCGCTTCTTGCCGACACAGCCAGCGTGTCATTTGTTCAGTGTACTCTCGTTTATTGCTGGCCCGGTAAGCGTCCTTCGCGTAGTCAATGTGCAGACGCTCCGGTGATTCTGTGTTGTAGCCGTCACAAGAGCCGTACGCACGTATAGCATCGAGGTAGTGTTGCATTGAGTGGATCTTCGCAATATTGAAGTGTGTCCGTGTCTTCAGCCTTACAAAGACCTCTTTGCTCTCATGGAAATCCCATAATGCGTTCTCCATGGCCCACAGCGTGTCACTGGTGTGCGAATGAAAGGATGCATAGTATATGAAATCGAGCACAGATCGAGCTGCAATGACAACTTGAGGGTGTACACCAGCGGTAAGCAGCCCCACAAATATGCGCTGCATTTCCTTATATTCATGCCCTGTCCACTGCGAGATAGTCGAGATCCCATTCTTGAAGAATCGCAGGCCCGGATAGCTGGACATGCGCTTAAAGCGCTCATCCATCTCGATATCCGTCATTACGTCCATACACCAGTTCACAAGGTGGTCGCGGAAGACCCCCTTGTGCAACTGGTGCAACAGATCTGGCGTAAAACAGTCGAAGATGTTCACATTCGGCAAATCAGCCCAAAAAGGATCCTCGACTGGTCGTAAACCTTCAGCATTGAATGCAGGAACCCGTCGGCCAGACGCCCGGTGCTTCAAGATAATCTTCGTGCGCTCTGTCTGACGAGCCTTGAGGGTAAAATCCAAGGTGCCTCTCTTCGGCGGCGTAACATAGCATTTAGGGCAGAAACTCTCCTTGCAGCAGGCCACAAGACACTGTTCAGGATGGTCGGCAACGTATGCTGCAAGGATCGGGAAGACATGTCGGATGTACCCATCCGCGCAACGCATGAGGACACCCTCCTTTCCAGCATCGACAAGCGAGGCAAGCAGTTTCTTCATGCAGTAGTGAAAGAGCCGATAGCCGGTGACCGACTTCATGGATTCGGACATGCAGTCCAGTTTCGGGACGGGTAAGTATCCGATCAGGACTGTGGCATGAGCAGTAGGCTTTCGGCGCACTGACTTCTCAATATTTCCAATAGTTAGGTACACGGGCCATGCGGACTTGTCACCGCGCTGCAAAGACAGTTTTGTCTTGTCTGAACTTAGAATGATTGGGGCGATGGTAGACCCCTTCGGGAGCTTTCCCTAGACGTTCGACATGATGAGAATGGTGAGTTGACAATGAATTAGTCGCTGTGAGGCTTACCTGTGTCTTCCACCACCAGTCTCCCGTCCACATCTCATCATATATCCGTCTCGCCCTATTCGCATCCGCGTATACATGCTCTGGTGCGTATGCCATTCCATTCCTGAAATCAGGATTACCGAGAAGTTCCCGAATAACCACAAGAGGATCTCGGGTCCATAATTCAACATCTTCTGTCTGGATCATGCCTTCATCATCATTCAAATCCCCTGCGATCTCCACGTTGTGACAGCTCCAGCCTGCTCCGCCGGTGGGAAGGCCGTCAATCTTCTTCAGAAATTGACGATTGTTCTCATAGGAAGGGGCAGCACGTTCCCGTATCTGGGTAGAATGCATGTAAGTTCATCAAAGTCTATCATACTAAGTATAGAACGCTCTCACAATGCCCAACTTAAGGAACTCATCTGTCTGCGTCTGCCTGACATTCTTCACGAGCCATCTGGCCAACTCCCACTCATCGGCATCATCAAAGGGCCCCCAGAGGCTCTCCCCTTGCTCCTCTTGTTCTCGTCAAATGCGTTCAAACTTTGTCTCGCCGACCTCCGAATACACAGCCCCAGCCATCATGCTCTCGTCGAAGAGCTCAGCATAGCGGGCATCACTGCCCTCCTCGTCCGGCACATCTTCCACTTGAACGTTGCGTCTCGGAAGCGAAGCAGGTCGAAATGGCGCGTGATCCGTGTATGGATCCACTGCGTCGAAGATGTCAGGTATGTCCTCCAGAGGCTCCCTGGTCACTTCAGGCTGATCATTGGCAGATTGCGCAGGTTTGTCGGTAAGGTCATAGACGTTCACAGAAGACTTTGCAAGCTGTCGGCGAAGGGCTGCACGGCACGCGACCGCGTTGGACACATGACGGCTCAATCCCGCCTTTGTAGGCAGCTCACGAGCACAGAATCCGCAGGTAGGCATTAAGAGCTGTTGGGTTACCAACTGACCAAGTTCTAACGATTCGGTTCACAGCTTCGAGCCTCTTTGTCGACAATCAACGCCCAGTCTGAATTGCCCTCCCGCATGAATGTCACGCCGCCCGCCATGCCGCACCAAATCAGCCGCTCTCAAGCCGTGGCGCACGCCATTCATCCGTGGCCGCCGAATCCTCACGTGAGCGCCAGACAGCACCCGTACGACGCGTTTGTTTGTTGATTCGACGCGTTTGCTGTGCTGACAATTAAGGTTTGCTATATAAAGGGCCCCTGCCGCTTTTCCTCTTAAACCACGTCCTGCGACCTCTCGAATTCACCCAAGGAAGTCCCTCGCTTCTTTAGCCTCAACATCCATTCGACTCAGTCAGCTCTCACCTCCAGGCTCATTCTAAACCGGACTGTCCAAATCCGTCATGACCCGCTCTTTGAAGTCCACTCCCGCTCGTAGTGCCCCCGCTTCCGGTAATACCGTCGCTGGTTCAACAGTGAATCGACGCAGTGCTCGTGCTTCAGTCCCTACAGCACGCAAAGCCGACGCCAGTAAGTGTTTCAACACTCTCTAGTTGGTTATAATAAATTCTAACGAGTCCCTTAACAGCTAACATTCAGCAGGAGAAGCAAGCCACAGCTTTGAAGAAAGTAGCTGAGAAGATGCTGCGGTCTCGTCAAGCCGCCGAGGAGGTGAATGGGTTTGAAGAACTCGGTATGTCACCTTGCCCCCCAAGGTACGTTGTCTGACAATGGACGTGAACACGCTCGCAGGCCCAGAGTCTGAAGAAGAAGAATACGATGAAGGCCTCATGGCCTCATTGAAGAAAAAGCAGCAGGTGTGTCGACGTCATACCTGCTCGTACTGTATTGTATATTAATCGCTCTTTCGGCGCCAATTTTATCTAGTTTACTATCACTGCTAGCGCTGAAGGCCCTACTCCCCAGGCTCACACCGTAGCTCAGGCTCGCACGCCGCGCCGTGCTCAGCCGGTGTTTGACTCGGACGATCATCTGCAAAAAAGTATTATCCTATATTAGCCTCTGTAGTCTCAATCGGAGGGGTTGGCAAGTAGCATACCCCTGGATTTGTGGGTAACAGTGGGTACCCCCCGTATAACATTGGTCACTGTTGGCCCAGTAGGTAGCCAACCCTCGATGTAGGCTTGTAGACCAGTTGGCTCATAGGTTACGTAGGACTACGTAGGCACCAATAGACGGCGATAGGCAAACAGAAAGTCATTAATTTTGATTTATGCTTCCCTATACACTCAGCTCAATGTCTGTACTACAATCAGACACAAGGCTCTTATCACGCAAAATGGTTATATTATGTAGTCTCAGACAAACAGTATTATCTACTGCTCATCATTCAGTGCGGACTGACCCCCGTTGTCGACAGCATCAAATCCTCCCTCCTGTCCAATGTCACTATGCTGACCATCCTCAGGTGCACCACCACCCCGTGCAAGCCAATCCTGTATGGCATGTTCAAGGTCATCATCCATCAATCCGGGACCCAACTCGCTCAGCTCCGTCACAGGAACCCGAGCATTCTCACTATATCCAATCACACAGCAAGTGAGCCATCAAGTAGACACAGACACATGATCATTTAAAACGTA